CATGGTTTTGGACTCAGCAGGGTGATGGCTCGCTATCAGCTCTGCCCAGTTCCAGGACCCCAGGGGTCTCAGGAGTTGCCTGTATGCCATCTCTAGCATCTCAGGAACAGTCTAGCCAGGGATGCTTGACCATGTACTGAACTGGTGTACTAATTAACGAGGACATGTGCTGGAAGAGCATTGTGTCCTGTACCACTCTGGGTGGAGAATAAATTTTCAACATGGACATAAGTACGGCATGATTTTACTAGTGGCACATGCACCTTGCTGAGTCCGCTGGTTTACAAAATAAATCGTCAGAGAAACAAAAACGCTATCAAAGGATGCTCTTCAGGAACAATCATGCTGGCTAATATTTATGTTCAGTTGTCAGTTGTAATTGTTAGCAATAACACACCAAAGTAGGAAAGGGGGAAGTTAAATACCATCTTATAAGATGTGCTGTAGGTGTTACTCAGAGCACCCTTTCTTCTCACAGTCTTGAGAATTGTTTTTTCTTCCTCATCCTGGAAGGCCAAAATGAAAAGCCTGCTTTAGCTGGATTTTGAGTTACTTTTCAAAAACAGCAGTCAACTTAAAGGCATTTCAAACTTGACTGCAGAGTATGGATAGATCAGGCAACAGTTTTACATGGGATTTTCAAAGCCATCTAAGGAATGAAGGTGACTTAAGTGATCTGTGAGAAGTGAGTGGCTAGTTCCTTTTGTCATCCATGTTGACAAGTACTTTTAGCCTGGACGTAACTATGCGTTGTATTGTTACAGTGACGGCCAGCTCTCATGACTTAAATAAGCTCTGCCTTTCTAAGCATGTTTTGGCAGTCTAACACAGGTGCTCTGAGGGCTTCTTTTGGCCTCTCGCTGTGCGTTAGCAATTGCACCTCCTCAGACCCCTGTTGACATAGCTCTGCTGACAGAAACCAGAGTCATAGGTCTGGTGATGGCTCACTGGGACCTACAAACTCACCCTTCTTCTTGGGTATGCTATTGTGTTACTAAATGCATGACAGATGGATCAGTGTAAAGCATTAAAATAACACTTATGTCATTGTTTAATATAATTGTTTAATATAGGGTTGTGTATATAAACCACAGGAGTTGAGCTTAATGTGGCAATAATTCAACAACATTCAAAAGGGGCAGAAGAGAGGAGTGATCGACGTGGCGCGATTTCTTTCTACAAAATAGCATATCTGAGAAGTATAATACTGAGTTGAACATGGAAGGCTCAAAGTCACTTGCTATTCTCTCTGTGACGAGGCTGGGGGGACGCAACAATGGCCCTGCCAAGCTACTTGCGGGATTAGCTGCCTTCTGCATCAAGGTCTTTCTTCACCAGCCTTCCCCTCAGATATATATATATTAACACTGTAAGCACTGCTGTGAATAGAATATACATACACAGCCTTGGTTTTAAGTAACTCATTTGAGATCTTGTAGCACCTCAGCTGGCCAGGGCTCACCGTAGACTGCAAAATACATCTCAGAGGTAAGGGCAAGCTGAGCTTCACAACTGCTACCTGTATCTAAGCTGGCTGGCTTATAGCTATCCTGTGTATGGCTGCCACGCACCGCTGTGATAATTAATACCTGAGCAGCGACAGTAGTATGAACAAATTCCAGGAAGACATTTGGTTTGGCTGGGGAGTTATTCTTGTGATAAAACTTCTTGCTCCTGCAGATGGATGAAGGAGGGTGCCTGATGTCCAACAGGAGCCTTTGAAAACTGTCACCACTCCTGTCATTTCTCAGATGCTAGTGTGAGCACATGATGTTACAAAGACACTGACTCCTGGGGGAAAGATGAAGTACTGTAACTTAATAATTTCTCTCCCCTCCTCCACTGTTTTATTTCAACCTTCAAAGGATTTTTTTCAGGAGAGAAGAATAAAGTGATCTGGGGCCCAGTTCCCACTTCTGCTCCAGGCTTCTTATGTGACTGTGGATAGTAGGTTGTGCTTTCCTGTACCTCAGTTTCCTCGCTATTAAATTAGAATAGGTGCAATTTTAAAATCATTTGTATAATTGTGCCAGTTGAGTATAGAGACAAGCTCTACAGACGTAAGGCTACCAAAAGATGTGGGAAATTGCAGAAGCCAGTTTTGAAAGGTGCCAGTGTCAGACCGCCAAGTCTGTGAGCTTAGGTGCCTTACCTGATTAAAGGTTTTAGAAAATTTAATTGGGAACCAGGCTGCAGAGTGCCTAAGTGCCATGAATATTGTAGCTCTAGGGTCTTTCGTGTCCAAACAGATTTTAAAATGGGGACTAGTGTTCCTTATTTGCTGAACAGATTTTTAAAATGCTACTAAGTCATAATGTTTCTGTTGTTGTTGTTTGTCTGTTTTGTCTAATTAGGTTCTGGCAGAACAATTGCAATCTCTTTTACTTTGTGTTTGTGCTGTGCCGGATAGACATAACCCTGAATTTAGTTCTCCTGTAGATGCGAGTTCAATAAAAATAACAATACTTTTACTAATGAGAATAACTATGTGAAGCCAGGATTCATGGTAAATTAGTATCCATTAGTGACTTAGATCTATAATGAAGGTTTCCTTGCTCTCTGTTGTGTGTCTCAATTCATTACAGAGCAGTCCGTAATATTTTATTAACAACTTTTTTTTTTTTTCTGAAACCATTGCCCAAAACTAGTGGAAGAATACATGCTTTCCCCTAACATCAGAATGGGACAAATGGCACTGCTTGCTTTTATTATTGTACAGAAGCGTCTTTCCTTTGGACTCAGATAGACTTGTAAATGGCAAGTAGCTGGAGACTAATGGAGCACGTGCTTCAAAGTTTTCCATCTGGTCCCTTGGTGAGCAAAAAGAATATATTGTTTATGTTCTAATCAGTCCTCATTATACAGAAAAGTACACCCGCTCCAAGTTCCTGGTGAAACTCTTACCTTTACTCAGAGAGGGAGAGGGCAACAAGTGCTATCCCCTTACGCATGTGCAGGAGAAAAATGACGCAGAGTAATTTTGTGCTCTGAAACTGGATAATGCACCTGTCAACAGGTATTTATTCTGGTGGCCTTCAGTGACATTTTCTAGTGACAGCAGAAGAGAGGCTAAAATTGTTTCAAGGAGACCCCGTACATACGAGTTGAGTGAGCGAGAACTATATTAATTTGAATGTGAGCAAAACTAAATTAAGATCCCTTTTCTAATTTGTTACATTGGAATCTTCCTCAGAGGTCCTCCTCCAGTCATCCCATCAAATAGGCCCTATTTATTCATTTATTTATTTTATTTTTCACATACGTTTAGGAAGAAAAAGGAAGGAGATACTCCCGCCAGTGGAGGCCATCTGCTCTTTTCTTACTGGGGGGAACAACACCCTATAATTAGTGCCTTGTTCATCTTTTCGTTTTAACAAAAAAAGAGAGGGAAAGAAAGAGAGAGAACTATTATGCAAATACTCTGCAATTTGGTTTCAAATATTCTTTGTACTATGATGAGCAATTTCCTTTAATACAAACTCAGCCTACTTGCCAGGACTTTTTTTTTGCCTTAATATAGGGAAGGGGAAAAAACCCAAACCTTTTATGATTTGGGAGGGGGCATGCTATGTTCCTCTGATGCCAACTTTTTTCTCATCCTTTTTTTTTAATCTTTCTTTCTTTGGCACTATTACAGCTGTTATTCTTTAAGTTGTCAGAAAGATGTCGTATAGGTTTTTTGAGAAAGAGAACCAAAATAGCTTTACAAAGCCACAGTTTCATCTCACTTTTCATTGTTCCATTGCCATGATGAAGTGGCCTTGAAATGGAGGACTCAGCTTAGTGAATGAGAGAGAAAAGCTTTCTCCCTGCCTTTTTTGAATGCCAGTTGCTTGTGATGGCAGCATTACCTCTAAGAACAGATATGTAGTTTTTTTTATAAGGCGCTCCTGTGTTACTTGTCAGTGGTACGAACTTTAGGGCCGAATAGCATAGCCAAGATTAAGTCCTTCTGGTCCTTGGTATGGGACAATCCAACTTGCTAGCTGAAAACCTCTGAAAACTTATGATCTCGAAAAGATAATTAAAGTATAGAAGAAAGAAAGGAATGTTATCTCCTGTTCGTTGTGTGGGAAGCTGAAGCATAGAAAAAACAAAATAACTCACCCAAGATCTATTGGTAGATGACTTTGGAATAATCAGGAGCTGAGCGAAGAGGCTCAGATTTAGAAGGTTGCTGCTTTGTGTAGTGCTCTACTTGTGGTAACATCAGGAGACAGGCAGCTGGGCTACTACTGTACCATCACGACTGCTAGTTTAGGCTATTGCTATACAACAGTCATACAGACAGCAGCATGGTCATATTCTAATGGCTTAACAAATCTGTTGACTTTCAGTAGGACTTATGAGCATCAGACACATTTGGAAAGTCCACACTAAACCTCCTCATTCTTAACCCTTTGCAGGTTGAACTCTGGGAAAGCTTCGGTTGACACACAAATGTTACATGCTTGAGCCTGTAAAATACTAAGCATAAAATCTCTGATCCAGTAAGACATTTTAGCAGAGCTTAATCAAATATCTTGCCAAATGAGACCTAACTGGCCATCTAACTATACACAAGTGGCATAGTTTGCTTGCATAAAAAAAAAGCTGATGCCCAATGGATTGACCACAAATTGGGAAAATGTATTCAAGAAACAAAATTAAGGGAAGTAAAACAAGACCAATGAGACCTTTAAGCAAAGTCAAGTGTGTCACACTTACATCTTTGCTTCTGTGCCTGTAATGGGACAGGGAATATAGGGCAGTTCAGAATTTCCGATCTGAGCCTTCACTGGATCTGTTCAGATAGTCTGACCCGTTGCTTGGGGCTCATTACATCAAGCAAACATTACATGAGACTGGATTTTGCCTAGGTGTGCCTAGCACTGGATGGACAACACAGGAATTCGTGGTACTTAGGGGACACCGATCTGCTTTAGATGCTCTATGGGAAATCTTCTATGCATAGATTCTTTAAGCACACTGGAGTAACTGGGTCACTTTTGTTGTTACAGGAAGCTCTTATCATGGCCAGCATGGACCACCCACACCTGGTGAGACTCCTGGGTGTCTGCTTGAGCCCGACCATTCAACTAGTCACTCAGCTGATGCCTCATGGCTGCCTGTTGGATTATGTTCATGAACATAAGGATAATATTGGTTCCCAGCTTCTGCTAAACTGGTGTGTCCAAATAGCTAAGGTATGTAGTCCATGCTGTTCTTTTTTTGTCATTTTCATAACTAACTAAAAAACATGCCATGCAAAAACAAAAAGATACAAACATACAAAAAAAATTGTTTGGCTCTTTTGGATTTTGTTTGTGGGTTTTTTTTCAGGTGTGTTTTTGTTTTCAAGACGGTTGGGTAGTTCTTCAAATACACACTATTTTGGCTGCTTACAGTATTATAGATTAGTTGTTAATATGTAAAGCAAAGTGTTTTTCTTTACTGTCTTTCCAACTCAGTGTTAATGGGGGGTCTTTTGGGGGGTGGGGGGAAGCGGGGGAAGAAGCCCCCTGTGTGACATCTGGGGCTGAGCACAGGATGATTTTTCAGCCTCTTCTACTGTTCACTATTCATAGATACCGATTTAACCTGATTGTAGTTTTCAACCTTTCTGAGTCTGCATTGCCAGTTAAATTCTGATATGCCATCACTTGCCTGCCCCCACACTGCCAAGAAGGTGAATACTCCATGTCACTCCTTTGGGAAACGCCACGGTTCTGCTGTGTTTAAGACCTATCACAACAGCTGAGGCTGGAGGGTAATATTGCTCGTCTCTGTAGAATGGGAAATCTCAAGGGCTGGATCCTGCTTTGCTTGCCGTGGTGTAAAGCTTTCTGCCTTCCTGTGGGGTTTTAGGAACAAGAGTGAAGCCATTGTCGTTCAGATACAGACTGCACTTCAGCTGAGGTGGAACAGAGTATAGGTCATAAATGCAGCCCTAATGTAATCCTTGCACAATGTTTTATATATATTTTTAGGTATGTTTAGATATTCAGTGCTGTACTAAGACCAAGTTATTGATAATGGGTTGCAAAGAGTAACAAGATCTGGGAGTGTCGGGGGCTGTAGTTTTTATCCATTTTAAAGGCTCTTGCAACCAGAGTTGTGGACAATGATGTTATTACGAATGAGAATCTGGAACCCACTTTTTATTTAGAGTTATTTAGACGTCATTTAAAGTTTTAGATTATTTTGGTAAAAATGCTTGTTACATACAAATGTGTGCCACAGACTGCCCTCTTATATTAAATCTGCAGCCTTAAGTGAATTTGCTACAACATCCATTAAGAAACCTTAATTCAAGTTGTAATGTTAAACTTTTAGCACTGGAGAGAAACCTGGAGATTCAGCAATTGTTTTGTTGGACAGAATAGCAGCCATCAAGTAAACATTCACTTCTTTTAAAGACTTAAATATAAAATATTTTCTTACAAAAGTAAGAAAACTGAGAAATTCAGGTAGCCCTGAGTTTTTGTTCAAGAAGAGGAAGAGTTTGAGCTTCATCATTAATAGGGACTTTTTTTTTTCCCAGAGTCAGATCTGTTGTCAAACCTGCCTGAAGGTGTGACAGTAGATGAAATGACCATAATGCTGGATAGAGGGGTTGATCCATAGAAGGGGTGGGGGGAATCCCAAACCCACATTCTGATGTTGCAGCATTTTGTAGATGCGTTAATATCTGTGATTCTGCTGTGCTGTGGTAGTAAAGCAGCCAGAGTTGCATGGAATATTGGAACACACTGATGGAGATTTGCAAGGGTTCATTTAGGGCTGTTATCAGACCAGGGAAGGTGGGGGAGAAAATACATATGCCTGTTTGAGTCCTTTCTCTCAGCACAACCTCCTTCCCATCTGTTTACCACTCTCTTGATTGATAGTGGCCGTTATTATTTATTACAAAACATTTACACAGTGGCATACGTGAAAAGATAATCCACCTTTATTTTCACTTTATGCATGCATATGGCTATTGACTCATTGGACTAATATCTGTACTTGCTTTGCTATGGACTTTATGTGGGCAGAAGCAAATAGCCTGATCCATAGCAGAGGTTTACAGAGCTGACGGATCCATGGGAGGGTCTGTGGAAGGCAGGCTATGGTTTTCCCATGGTGATTCTTATCAAAGTGAAATGGTTTCTAAACTGATTTCCATTGTGAATGGTTTCAACATAATGTGGGGATTGGCTTTAGGTACACTCATTTGAAAATCATTGCTTGCTGGGTTTCCTGATCACCGTGTGATGTGGGAGAAGAAGATGAGGTGTTATAGCTATCTGAGTTCTGAGAAGGTGGGTAGCCAAGCAGTGCAAAGTAGTGAGATCATACGCATAATAATAACTGATGAAGCATCAGGAAGAGAAAGGAAGAATCTTTATAACAAAAGGCCTATTATTGAGGGGAAGTTTAGTGAAGTTTAGTTAGTTTATTGACGTTTAATTCAGTTCATCTTCTGCATCACAATAATCTTTAGGTTAATTTTGCCTTGGCCTCAACGTTACAGCATGAAGCTCGTCCACTTGGCTACCCACAAAGGGGACAGCAGCAAGTGACTGTTTTCTTGGAAAAGTGCAGTACTTTGTATGTAGGGATGACCTGTTAACTCTGGGCCATCACAGTTTGTCTGGATTATTTTCTTCTCAGTTTCTTCATGTAAAAAAAAACTTGGTAGTGGGCATGGAGATAATCAGTATGCATCTGACAGGGAGTTCTGCATTTTGCTGCTTTTGCATGTGTATCAGTGGTATTTAGTAAGGGATCGCTTGTTATAGTTGAGAAGGTCACCACAGGTACTGACTACTTGCATACCATGCCAGTATGGTGCAATCCTATTGCAGAAGTAGACTCCAAAGAATTAAAATGTACCTTTAACTCTTCATTTTCTTCTTGTCTTTGGAGACCTTGAATGACAGTTGTGTGTTGAAAATCTTCCCCATCAGGTTGCATCTATGCATAAAGATACATATGTTAATTATTGTATAGGAGGCTGTCAGTGAAGAGAGGAAAGAGGTAGGGACATATGAGGCTGTGCACACCACATAACGTATAAAAGTAATGCAAATGTTGCAG